TGCCAACCCCGAACATTCTGTGATTCGGGGACCGACCGCGCGTGGGGTCCGACCGTCCCGCTGCGCCGCATCGGAGGGAGCGGAGTTCAAGTCTTGGGGTGGGGGGACGGACGATTGGTGAAGGCTGCGCTCTGCGGCACTGGCTCATCTTCTCCCCTCTCTCCTTTGCTCAGATGCCTACGCTCGAGGGTCCGGCTCGTCGACCTCCAGCGCCTGCACGCTGTCGGCCATCAGCACAATAATGATATCGCTCACAGCTCGGTCCAGTTTATGACAAAAATTACATACAGGACTTCTTGTTTATAATCTAAGCAACATTTAGCTAGTTGTTTTGAAGACACCCAGTACTAAGTAATATTGTGGTTTGAGTACATCTTACTACTGGAAAAATGTTTATGCTTCTTTAGGAATGGCATTATACAGTACTTCCTCAAAGCAAATATAGCTTTGTCTGAAGTTTCCTTGGAAACTCTGCAATGCACTGAAAACATCTGTAATATGATGTTACCAAAGCAGTTTACATATGTCCTTATATGCATATTTTTTATTATATATTTAGTGTTTTATAGAATTTTTTAAAGTTAACATATGATGTAGATATTAATTTTTCCTCTGCTATAAAATGCTATGGACGACATTATCATGAAAATATTGTTTGGAATTTTTTCCTTTACGACTGAGAGTTCAAAGTGGTTCTTAGCAAACTGGCCGCCACTTTCCTGTCCAGTTCTGCAAGGCTGCGCAAGGCAGAGCTGCTCCAGACGGGGTTCGTGGTGCGGCTGCGTGGAATGGCAGGTGACAGCCCTTGTGCTGGATCGAGTGCTTGCAACGCACGAGACGGTACGTTTTACTCGGAGTTCTAAGCAAGACGAACTCGAAACACTCAGCAAGAACACTACAATCTTGAAAAAATACATGAATTGGGGTTGTTTGTGGACTACAGGACACGTAGCTGATGTTCTGGCACCATGCAGCAAGGGTCCGGTTTTACTGTCTTGAAATAGCTTTGGCTTTATCATAATTAGCGTTAAATTGGGTAGGGACGAAGATACCGCAAAGGCACCACTGCCTCCAGTGACCAGAGGAGACAGGCACCCAGCGGAGCGAGCGAACGCCGCCGTTCCCACCTTTGGGTGTCAACCCAGCGAAAGCCACCGCGCCTGGGGGGATTTTTTTCCGCGGCAATTACAGCGCAGCGGCTCCGAGACGCGGAGCTGCCCTGGGCTCGTCGTCCGACCGCACGCTTGCTCTCCACACTGGGACGCAACTCTTCATCCCTCGTAACTCCGCCGTACAGAGCACGCCTGGGAAGCCCGGCGGCGGAGCTGGCTGTCTGCGGGAGGTGCTGGGGGTCTGCCTTCTCCCAGGAGCTCCTCACCGACGCCCGAACGCAGAACGGAGCCGCGCCGGGCAGCGACAAATCCGCAGCGGAATCGTTCCTCGAAGGGCAGGACAGTTTGTTACTACGGGGTCGTTTTGTAAGTTCACTCAGATGGGATAACGCTGGGCAAAGGCAACGGAATTTTCTATAAAGTTTTCAAGTTTAAATGCGCTGCAGTGGTTTATGATTATTTTTTTTTTCCTGATAGCTTGAATTTGCCTGTAACTTGTCTTTTTTGCTTACAAAATAATACCGTTAACTTTTAGACCTTCTAAATATATTTATTCAGTAACTCATAATCAGGATTCCACTTGTGTAAAAGTCAGGGGTGTTGACCAGAGAAATATTGTCAGTATTTCAAGCTGTGTTCCTTTCTTAGTTTGATATGGTTACTTCTTTGTAAAAAAAAAAAAAAAAAAAAAAAAAAAAAAAAAACACAAAACCAAGAAAAATGGAACAAAAAAAAAGAAGCTTCTGTAGTTTTCTCCCCAGTGTAAATGATATTTATCAGTGATCTAGCAGATGTAATCTTTTTTTAAAGGTATTGGTAATAAATATTCTGTCATTTGTAAAGATACCTGTCTTCCCGGAGCGTTTTTCCTCCACGTTCCATTCTGCCCAGGGACGAATCTCACCGCGGGAGTCGGCAGCACCTGCTAAGACTGTCCCTGACGTGAAGCTCAGGAAGAAGGGCTGCTTTGAGTCAAACCTTTGTGGAGCCAGGGGGAAAAAAAAAAAATCAGTTTATACACCTCTGGTCTAATTCTGCTTCCAAAACTGGGGACAAAGCCTGCGTGGGGGAATCTGGGGTGACGACGTCTGTTTCTGTAGAGCGATGGCCTCTCCCAGCTCATGTGGGCTGGTGCTGTCGAGCGGAGCCGCTGCACCCTGGGAAGCTGGGAGCGGAAAAGAAAGGGAAGAAACGGAAAAAGAGACGAGTGTGGCACTCGCCGTCCCCGCAGCCGAGCCGGACAGGCAGCCGCAGGATGGGG